CCCCAAAATGTAACATGTATATACATGTAAAATCTATTACCCGGACTATGTGATAAAAAATATTATTTTTTATAGAGGATCTAGTATCCAGAGAGAGAAGACTATTCATTAACATAAGCTAGTAAGTTGTATAATAATTAGGTCTAGCATTAGTCTCAAAGTTTCCAATTATAAATGATCTGCAGGAACAGCAGCTACCATTGTTTGAAATTCAAAGTCTTTACTGCTTGAAATTATTTTTTCTTGTGGCAATCCAAATGGAAGAAGCATCGGCTACATAAACTGCATTTATTGTAATTTTATTTAATTGTTTGATAGAATTAGAGTGAAAAGTTCTAATCAAGTGCGTGCATGCATGCATCTTGTGGCAGTGTCAAGTCACTGCCCGGGAATGTTTCCATGCATGAGATGGGAGTTATTTACCTGCACGAGTTCGTTGTCTTAAAACCAGCAACGACACCCACTTCGATAATCATTTAATTGATCATTCGATGGAACATCAAGGGTCTTGTTTTTACACGTCAATACACCCTGTTAATTAAGATTATGATGTGTTAACACGAAGATTAGGAGGTTGGTTAATCAAGGATGGTCATCGAAGGACTCAATATGGATAGTGAGCGCGTTTCTCAAAGATGGTTTGACTCTAGCTACATTAATGTCGCATTTGCACGTATGTTTATAAATCCTTTCTACTTCTACTTCACCATATGCAATCGGCCCCTCATTTATTTTTATGTTTCGGGAACGGTGTTGTTATACGTGTATGGTAGTGTACATCCATATCTTGGTGAGAGACTCGTGTTTATAAAGAAATCATGAAAATTTTAAAGGGGTCATATTAAAAATTATAAAAACAGAAAGACCAAATAATAATTTTCAAAAAAAACTTGGGATACTCCGGGTCCTCTCTAGCTTCCATTTAGGTCTGTCTCTCCTTGAGCCATGGTGACTAGGGTAAGTGTTCGATTCGAGTCAAGTTGAGTTGAGTTAAAAAATTATGAACTATTTAAGTTGATCGTTGTTCGAGTTTATGTTTAAATTTAATTGTTCATATTTAAATGATTTTCTATAATCATACACAATATATATATATTTTTTCATATGTGATATGCATATATCATATAGGGTTGAGAGAATCGACTCAAACTTGAAAATCAATATACTAATTACTAAAAAATTTGAGTTATTTGAGTCACTATTCAATTTATTCGAATTTTATTTTATAACTCGACTCAAATTTAAATTTTAATTGAGTCAAGTAAAATTTATAAAATTAGAAGTTGTATCGATTCAAGTTAATTTTAAGTTAAATTGAATCAATCGATTTTTTCTCACCCTATTTGCGACTTGATTGTAGTACTTTGAGCTGATAACATTTGTGATGCTAATAAAAATATAAAAATAAAAGTGAAATTCTTACACGTGGTAGCACAGTCCCCAAGAAAGGTGGGCAATGCGTTAATATGAGCTTGCCACGCTCCATGCTTGCTGGTGCTATAAATTCATCTGCAGCTCATCCAACTTGGTATTTCCCATCATCATCATCTTCTTCTTCAAAACCCTAGCCAGTTTCATCAATCAAAACACATACAAGAGAGGTCTGATATTTCTGGTGCATCAACTAATCACTTTTCTGAGTGATAATGACACCTGCTCCGGGAAGTCTTACACCCGGCAATGGCATCACCTTTCTGGCTTGGTTCTTGCCGCTGGTTTTACTTCTTTGCTTCGGTAATGTGCATCTTCTCCTCCGAAACTAACATGCATGTGTATTACTCTGAATCGAACATAATTATATTTAAATTTAAATTTAAATATATATATATATATATATATATATATATGTATGTATTCCATCTTCATAATATATAATTGAATTAAGACTCGATCGATAAATGAATGCAGTGGAGTCGTCGATTCAACAAGAGGAAGCACTGGGTCAAGGAAGCATTAAAAACTTAGTCTTTTCCAAGGAAAGCACATCTGCCATAACTAGGAAGCTGTTGCAGTCCACTGGTACGACACATATCATAAATTCCATCATTAAATATATCTAACAATTTTGACTTTGAACAAAAACCCTGATTTATGCACACACCACATGCAGACGACGGCGATGCCAATCGGATCGGCACCGAGTGTACTAAGGACGACATCGTTATATTCCAAGGCTCGACGGCACCGCTCCCCAACGGGATCCCGACGTACACGGTTCAGATAATGAACGTGTGCGTGTCGGGTTGTAGCATCTCCGACATTCACGTCAGCTGTGGGTGGTTCAGTTCGGTGAAGTTGATTAATCCCACCGTGTTCAAGCGACAGACATATGACGATTGCCTTGTTAATGACGGGGAGCCACTTGGTCGCGGCGAAGGCCTCTCCTTTGAATATTCTAATACTTTTAGCTACCCTCTAGCTGTCTCGTCTGTAGCCTGCTGCTAACTCACCACCACTGTTGTGACTCGTACTCATAACTCACCACCACTGCTGCTACCATACATACATATGGTATGTTGTTAGTGTTTTAGTAATGTTCTTCTACTTTGTATTAAGAGTCCATGGACTTTGAGGGGTTTTGATTAATTCTGTATAATGAAGAAAAGTGGTATAATTATAATTTTTACAATAATAGGGATTCAAATTGAATGTAGAGAACTATTAAATTACTAAATTTTAAAAATATAAAGATTTATTAATTATTTAAATTCTGAAATTTATAGAGTAAAATTTAATTATTTTTTTTTAAAAAGATATTTTAAGTGGGCAATGAAATTTAAGATTTTAATTTGAGTTTCTAGAGCTTAGAAATTTTTATATAGAATGTTAAAAATAATTCTTAAAGTTTAATTGAATGAATTTTTAAGTTTTATTTTTTAAATATTTTAATCTTTAAAATTTTATTTTTGATAAAGTCATATCTTTCATATAAAAATTATTAATTGATTAATGTCGCGAATAAATGCAAACGAACCGGTTATTCATGGCATCAATGTTGTGCGAGGGAATTAATAAAACGGTTCGTTTTGCGTTTAGGTCATGTCTGTGAAACATTGTCATTTTGATGGGTTTTTAGGCGGCGCCGTTTGATATTTGCTTAGGTTAAAAAGTCTCATTAAGGGTTTGGTTTTCAATCAATTGGAATGAAATATTATCATTTTAAAATTGACTCCAATAAAATTATTAAATGATATTAATAGTAAAATGTAATATTATATTTTAGAAAAATCTGAATTTAAATAATTATGTTTATAGATTGTATATACATCGTTAATAAATATTTTTTTTTTGAATAAATATTAGGATAAACTACGTGTTCAGTACTTAAACTATTAGTTTTTTTTCTGTTTTAGTATCTGACTGTCAATTTTTCAAAGACTTAATATCAAAATAAGTGCCCAAACTATATCATTATTCTTAAATAGGTGTTTAAACTATTTTTTGGCTCATCTATGTGTCTAATGTTACAAACATTACTCATTTAGGTGTCTCGATCCGTAATGGTCGTTATAAAACCCCGTTAAGTCACACGTGCTACAATATTAGAATTTTAAATTTTTTATTTTTTAAAAAATAAAAATATTATTAGGGAAAAAAACACAAAACCTTTATCTTGCATGCCCCTTTTTCCCTCCCTTGTTCCCCTCACCTTCCTCCCTTCTTCAACGGCCAAACGATCGACCAAATGGTCGGCTGTCACAGTCAGCGAAACAACTGATTATCACGATCGAATTTGAAGGATTGAGTTTTTTGAGATTTTAGGGATTAGAAATTTAAATTTAGGTATTTGAGAATTTTGAGTTCTGAGATGATAGTAAGAGTTGTGACCAGTCATTGGGTGGTCGAGAACGTATGGGTGGTCGATTGCCAGTGAATGGGTGACCCAATATGACCGACAGTAGGAGTAAATGGGACTAGAATAAGAGATTTTAAGAGTTTGAGGTTTTTTTTTATATATTTTAGATACAATTAAGGCTTTTTCGAAAATAAATTTTTAAAATTATCAGATTATGAAACGTGTCACTTAACTGGAAAATTAACGTTGTTGACGACCGAAACATTTAAATGGGTAATGTTTGTAATGTTAGGCACTTGAATGAGTCAAAAAATAGTTTAAGCATCTATTTGATAATAACAATATAGTTTAAGTACTTCCTTTTTTAAAACTATGCCTAACTTTTAGTTTTTATATCATTTTAGTATTCCGTCATTAAAAATTTAACGGATAGGATGACAAGGCATAGCTCCGATAAACGGATAACCAATCCAAACGGTGGACCATGAGAGAATGATGAGTCGACCAAACATAGTTCATTTTTAGGTTCATTGGACAGTTGACGATGGAGATCAGGGATGAAGAAATTGAAGAGTTCATCGCCAATTAAGGGAGATTGAGGCATTTTTCAATGAAACGGAGGTTAGAATCACGTTCAGGGGTTGAAAGGTACGGGCTGAAAAGTTTGAGCTTTATCGACCAATGATTGTAGATTCGACGATCGGTGAGCCCGTCCGTTAAATTTTTAACAGTGATGTACTAAAATGAAATAAAAAACAAATGTTAAAAATATTTTGCAAAAAGTTAAAAAATTAAATATTAAAACGGATCAAAACTGATAATTTATGTATTAAACGCATAATTTACCCCAAATATTATCTTGCTATCGCTCGATATTATTAAAAATAAATAAAATTAACTTATATAAATTTAATTAATTTAATTAAAAAATAATTAAAATAATAAAATAATAAAATAAACACTTATCTGCTTGATAACACTTGTTCATTAGAGTTTATATCATCATTAGTCCATTTAAACCAATAAAACACAGAGGCGCCTTTGGCATGCAACACAATTCAAAATTCAAAAAGCACCGCACACCCAAATCAACACATGTCCGTAATCAAAATTCGAAATGTCTCGTTCCCCCCCCCACCACAGAATTCAACGAAGACAAGACCCTTTTCAAATCAGTGAACACACCAAACATAAACCAGAACAGAACAGGGCGAGCAACTCTTACAAAAACCTTCAACAAAATCCCCAACTGCGTTTGTCCCTGTAAAAATGGCCACCCGCTACAAGTCGTACGATTCCTGCTCTTCCAGGTCCACCTCATCATCCATAGACCTCAACGCTTCCTCTTCCGCCAAACCAAAGCCCTCCTTCTCTAAAGCCCTCGCCAAACCAAACCCATCGGCCGTCACCCAAGGTTGCCGGAGCAAGACCACCAGCACCACCACCACTCACCACAACTTCACGAGCATCATGAAGAGATTCGTCGACAGTAAATCCAAAAACAAGACAATGGGCCAGCTTTTCATTCCGTCCGATGTACTTGCCGAGGATCTCAAGAAGACCGCCAGAAAGGGAACTGCTTTCACGGCGTTGCAGAGGAAGCTGTTCGGGAACGGCTCCGCCGATAAGGAGAGGAGGGCATTGACGGAGGTTAAAGGGAATACTAGGACTCTGGCTATGGTTTTGAGAAGTGAGAGGGAGTTACTGAGTTCAAATAAGGAGCTGGAGACGGAGATTGCTTTGCTCAAGCTTCAGCTTCAAGACAAGAACACAGAGGTGATCCCATTTGCTAATATAATTGCTTTGGGCTCGAGTTGGTTCGAGTTTTAGTTTGAGTTTGAATTCGAGTTGAAGATGTTAGAATTAACTATGAATTTTTGGGTTCGAATTAAAATTTAATATAGAAGGTGTTTTGCAGGTTGAGAAGCTGAAAGATTTGTGCTTGAAACAAAGAGAAGAAATCAAATCATTGAAAAGTGCAATACTTTTCCCCGACGCCATGAATTCTGAGCTTCAAGAACTTGTGGAAACGCAAGGTTCTGAGCTGACACAAGCCAAGCAACAGATCCCAACTCTGCAAAGACAGGTCAATTCTCTTACAGAACAACTCCAATGCCTTGCCCTGGATCTTCATCAGGTAATAATAATCCCAGTCCACACAAACCAATCCCATTATAAGCATGGATTCTTGTAATCAAACGTATGATTTTGAACAGATGAAAGCAGATCGGTCTTGTGACCAGTGGCATAGTAGCATCTCTCCCATGACGCCCGTGTTAGATGGAGTCGAGCATTCTGATTCTTTGGTAAGAAATTTAGATTTTACGATTAACACGTTATGTTCATTTACACTCCTAATCTCAACTCGAAATAATCGAGATCTAAAACTTTCAGGAATCTAGTTCTGGCGATCCAACAGCTCCTGGTAGTCCAAGTGACTTGGTCCTTGAAGATTTGAATCCATGTTTGACACCATACTATGCCAAGACAAAATCCAAGGTAGACGACGGTAGTTCGATTGTTTAGAATTCGATCCTGGATTTAAAATAAATTTATTGTAAACAAGGTTTTAGTTTAATTCGAATAAATTTATTCAATTTCCAAGAAAAAATGTATTCTACGATACTCTCTTTCTTGCTTGCAGAGGAGTGGAACATGAGAAATTACACGTGAAAAATTAACCGGCTTTAATGAGAACAAATTTCTGCAGAAAGAAGCAGCCTTCATCTATTGTCAATGGGATTCCAAAACTGATGAACCCACTTTTGTTTTATCATCATCAACTTATATATGAAAAACATAAAATTACAGGAAATTACCCTATAAAAGTGAAACATTTCGGGACACATGTTCTACCAGCCGGAGTTGTTCTTGGCCTTGTTGCCACCATATAAGCGGAACAGACCAAATGCAGATATACAAGACAGGACCACCATGCAAATGCAAACAAGTAGTGCCACCGCTACTCCTTCACCTACTTGGTTACAGAATTTCCCATACATGTTGTGAAGATACTAATTTTTTTATCCATATTATTATTATTATTATTATTATTATTATTATTATTACTATTATTATTATTATTATTATTACTATTATTATTATTATTATTATTATTATTATTATTAAATATATATTAAATATATATATAAATAATTAATTACAGGCCAATTACAAATGGACCGGCCCAGTTACAAACAAACCAGAACCGGTCCAGAACAAACCAGAAACCCTAAACATTTGGGGGTTTCAGTTAGGGTTACCTAACCCTAATCTAGCCGGCCGCCTCATCACAGCAGTTAGGGTCCCTAGATTGCTCCAGATGGAAACCCTAGGGTCTGATACCCTAGGGACACGCGGCCGCCGCTGCTATCTCGCCGCCTCCGCCACTGCCACGTCCCAACCGAAGGCTCCAGAAGCTCCAACGCCAGCCGTCCACGCCATGGCTACGGGGTGAGTCACCACTGGTAGTCCGGTGACTCACCGAGACCCCATCTTCGGACCGGTCCGATGGCCACACCGGTGGTGGCTATAAAAGCCACCACCCCAACCTGAAAAAAAAACACAGAGAGACAGAGAAAAAAGAGAGAGACAGAACCGGAGAAAGAAAAAAACAGAGAAACGAAAAAAAAAACAAACTACTAACCAACGATCTCAGTCAAACATCCCACAACCAGAAACAAAAAAGAAGGAAAAAGGAAGAAGAGAAACTTACCGAGGAAGCCCCGACCACCGGATCTCACCGGAACCTTCGAAACACCGAAGGTACTTTTGTAGATTCGCTCCGATTGGGAGCTTTTTAGGAGAAAATACCACCGGAACCGTCCTTAGGACGGTCCGATCTATCTATTAGAGTAAAAATTTGTTGCCGTCCGGTGACCGGCTTCCCTCCGATGAGGGAAGCTAGAGAGAAGGCAGAGAACAAATTTGTTCTCTCTGTTAGAGAGAGAACAGGGAAAATGAAATGAGAAGCTGGCCCTACGGGCCAGCCGGTTTGGGTTATAAATACCCTCTCCCAAACGACGTCGTTTCGGGGAGGGTATTTCTGTAATTTCACAAAGGGTAAATCCCATTCGAAGCCATTCCAATTTGTAATTTTTACATTCTAGTCACTAAATCGATTTTATAATACTTTTAATTTGATCTCGAAATTTTAATTTTATTTATTTTAGTCCTTCATATTAAAATAATATATTTAGGATAAATAACAGATTTAATCCCTTAATTTTGATAAATAATATTTTAATCCCTAGTTTATATTTTTAATTTATTTTATTATAATATCCGAATTATAGATAATTTTATTTTAGTCACTAAATTATGAAATAAGAAAATAGCTTGATTAATCCCTGTAATTTTGATTAATTATGAATTAGGTTTGTCAATTTTAATTTCACTATATTTTAGTCATTTATTTTAAGTATTTTTTTTATTGCTTTTAAATATATATTTAGAATTGTATTCTTTTACTTGCTTATATATTTAAATGTTGTTATAAGTATATAATAAATAAATATTTAGTTTTCAATATCAAAGAACAGGACAGTCTTAAAACAACTGGATGTCCTATTCAGATATTTTAAAATTAAACAATATTATTTAAATTAATATCAAAGAAAAGAGCTGTCTTAAGGCACCTAGAAGTTTTTTTCTGATATTTTTAAATAAATAAATATTTTTTATATAATTTTGAAATAATAGGATTATAAATTAAATATATTTTTTAATTTTAATAATAGAGACAATTTATAATTAAAAAGTACCAATTTTTGGGCGTTGTAGGGGTGCTAATCCTTCCCTAAACGTAACCGACCACGAATCCCTTTTTATTTAAAAAAAAAAAGATAGAATTTTTGGTTATAAAACGCAGATCAGTTCATTTTTTTTAATGGATGTTTTTTTAAAAAAACTCTTTTAAAAAAAATAATTTTTAGGTATTCGACCTACCTGATCCAAAAGGCCGATGGCGACTCACAAATTATTTTCAAAATTATTTATTCACATCAATTTCCCCGTCAAATAAATATTTCGTGCCCGGACGAAAACCGGTTACGACAGCTTGGCGACTCTGCTGGGGACAGGTCAAACTTTTAAAAATCAATTATGAATTGTCTCTATTAATTAAGAATTAAAAATTCATATATTTAATTTTTAATTTTATCTTTTCAAAATTTTTATATTTTTTTATTATTTTCATAATATTTACATATTTTATTTTATTTGTAAGTATTTTATTTCATTATTTATTTTGTCAGAGGTATGAACATTTCTCCTCACACACAACACTTGCATTGCATAACATAAAGCTCTAAAATTGAGTTGTCCCTTTTAAGTGGGAGTGAAAGCGACGTCTTCGTGAGAATTTATTCTCCGTGTCAGACCTAGCAAGTAACTTTCGGGGTTCATATGCTCTATGTTTTCGTGAGAATTTATTCTCCGTGTCAGGCATAGAGAAATGTATCCCCTCGAATTGAACTCAATCCACTTTAGTCTGTGATGGACTAGGGTTGAGGGTTAGCAACCCAAGGGGGCACTAACAAGAATAATTCGGGTACCTTTACTCTTAGATCTGAAACCCTGCATATAGAAAACCCTAGAAACTCTTCCGATCCTAAGTCATGCCGAAATTTTGTCTAAAATAGGTGTACACACAAGAGAAATGTATTCTAACTTTCTAGTTTATTTATTTTCTTTAAATTACATGTATATTTAAATTATTTAAATTTAGAAAAGCATGTTTAAATAAAAAATTATTTATGTAAATGTTAAATTTCTTTATTATGTAAACTAATTTATTTTCTTTTTGTGTGTTCTTTATTTTTCTGTTTGCATAGCATCATACAGGATAAAAGGCATTGATCCTTGTGTTAATTGTCTCATTGGAAAGCCTTCACCTATGGATAAAAAGTGTTCAAATCAAGTAATTCTGAACTCAGAAGTAAGACAGTGGGCTGAGGATGTACAAAGACAAGAAGGAGACAGTTTACAGGATGATTATATATCTGACTTGGCCAGTTATGCTCCAGTTTCATTAAAAAGAAATGATACGCAAGATTTGCGAAGCATTTGGGAAAGTTGGGATTCAAACAAAAAATTGCAGTTTTATCAGACTTACGGAGACATCCCATATTTGCTCTATGTAGAAGTTGATGATGAATTACTCCGAGCCCTAATTCAATTCTGGAATCCAGGGTACAATTGCTTCACTCTCAATAAAGAAGACTTGGTCCCTACTATTGAAGAATACACAACTTTGCTACATATAGATGGGGCTTTGGAGAATCGAATCTATTCAAAGTCAATTAAAACTCAACCCTTTCGAGTTAAATTAGCAAAGATTGCCGGGGTACAAGAAGAATGGGTGGCATCACGTACAAAACAAAAAGGCGAAAGCGAAGGCATTGCTTGGACCAACATTAGAGAGCTTATTCAGAGCCATCCAGATATTAAAGTACGATTCGATTTATTTGCTCTGGGTATATATGGTATGGTCATCTTTCCAAAAGTATTGGGATATGTTGAAGCTGCAGTGGTAGATTTGTTTGAGCAGCTACCGAAAAAGATTAATCCTGCTTCTGCAATCCTAGCAGAGACCTTCAGATCGTTAAATGCTTGTAGAAAGTTAGGAGGTGGACGATTCTCAGGGTGTACCCAGTTGTTATATGTTTGGATCCGTAGTCATTTCTGGAGGACAGAAAAAGTGTCATACCGACGCTTTAATACGGATTACTCACCATTAAAAGAATTTCTGGAGCAGGAATGGCCGAAAGAAATTAAGAAAGATATGTGGATTAATGCCTTTCGAAATTTACAAAGCAATGACGTGATTTGGCGAGCCCCGTGGCAAATCCAAAGGGAATTCTTTTACAAATGTGGAGATTACAACTGGATAATGCTGCTCGAATTATGGGGAGGAATTGGATATGCACCACTTCTGGTTATAAGACAGTATGAAGGTCGTCAATTTGTACCTGTCATTGCTGGATTACAGTCATCTGAATTCACATTCCACAGCAAAAATTATAAAAGAAGTATTATGGAAGCCGTTACAGCTTGGAAAACAACTTTTTGTATCCGAGCTAAAGCAGCAAAAGAAATGCTAACTCCTGATTATGAAGAATGGAGATCTGTCAGAAAAAACGAAAATATTCCTTTACCAGATCAAAATGAGGATATCTCTATGGAAGATCGCATTAAGGTGGTTCCGTCAGAGATTGAAATCTTGAGAGCTGAGTTTGAAGCAGAAAGAAAAGGCTGGTCGAAAGAATTAGAGCAAATGAGACAAGATAAAGCTATGATGGGGGTTGACATTGAATTTCATTCATCACAATGTGCAATGTTGAGAAAAGATAAAGAAAAAGGTGAGGATGAGTACAGAGCCTTACAGAAAAATTACCAGGAGTTATATAAATCCCGGAAAGCATCAGGATCAAGCCAAGCAACAATACAGATGACTAGAGAGTTGAACATCGAGAAAAGACGAGTTGAAGATCTGAAAGGAAAGAATAGCCGTCTACTCAAAAGCC